TAATAGCGACCAGACTGTATGATAATAGCGACCAGACTGTATGTTAATAGCGACCAGACTGTATGTAAATAGCGACCAGACTGTATGGATAATAGAGACCAGACTGTATGTTAATAGCGACCAGACTGTATGGATAATAGCGGCCAGACTGTATGGATAATAGCGACCAGACTGTATGGATAATAGCGACCAGACTGTATGGATAATAGAGCCCAGACTGTGTGTTAATAGCGACCAGACTGTATGTTAAAAGCGACCAGACTGTATGGATAATAGAGACCAGACTGTGTGTTAATAGCGACCAGACTGTATGGATACTAGCGACCAGACTTTATGGATAATAGCGACCAGACTGTATCGATAATAGCGACCAGACTGTATGGTAATAGCGACCAGACTGGATGGATAATAGCGACCAGACTGTATGTTACTAGCGACCAGACTGTATGTTAATAGGGACCAGACTGTATGGTTAATAGCGACCAGACTGTATGTTAATAGTGTAACGGAGCCGCCTAGTCACTTCATTCAATATTGTCTCCGTCTAGTTCTAGACTAGATCGTTTGCTGGTAGCGCAAAACAACGATCTTACACAAGACTCGCAAAAGCTAGCTGGTAACGCTCGACTTGAACCGTAGTACTGGTAGCGTACTTTGTAGAACTAACATGAAGTATTAAGTAAACTCAAGTTTTGTGTACCACATAGACTGATTTTATTAAATGACACATATATAGTATGTTATTCTGAATATCCTTCACACAAATCTTTACATAGTAGTCATACAACAACCACACTAACCTTATCCTAGGTCTTGACACTGAAGTCTCCGGTACTGTAATTCCGGTAAGAAATCCACGTATGGGTAGAATATAATATATATATAAAGCATTCCTAATGAAAGTGACAAAGTTATGAGACTGAATAAGTTATGTTAATTTAGGTTTCAAAGGCCGAAAGAAGTATAAATGATGTCCGAATAATGAAGACTAAGTGTATACGTAAAAGTCAATAAATCTCTATGTCTAAAAGTCTATAAGTCTAACGAAAATACAAACGTTCGCTCTTTTATACTCACTCTCAAGCACAACAACAAATCAAAACATCGTATGTCGGTCCTAGAATAAACAACCAATCGAATAACTGTAAATAAACATCGCGTTTATTTACCGAACTCGAACATTCATAAACTCCCGCTATTCGGTGATCGCAACTCTAAGACCGGAAATACGTAACAACTGTCACTCTCCGTACATGCACACTCTCACAACAATGGCAGCCTCCATCACACTACAGAACACGCACCAAGACTCGTCGATAAGACGGGAACTACAGTTATAATACATGCAATTATCAAGGTTTATATGAAAGGTTCAATTAATACATCAACAATACAACTATATATATCATCCAAGCGACACAGCGCCCTTACTTTGTTCGAAAATAACACTNATGCTGTCCTTCTCCGTGAGCTTGTGTAAAGGTTTCGCGATGGTGGCGAAGCCTTTGATAAACTTTCTGTAATAGGATGCAAGTCCAACAAAACTTCTCAACTCTTTTACTGTTTTGGGGACTAACCATGCTTTTACTGCCTCAATTTTTCCTGGATCAGGGGAAACTCCTTCCTCTGACACAATGTGACCTAAGAATTTGACCTTCTTTTGGAATAATTTGCATTTCTTGGGAGAAATCTTGAGTCCTGCTTCTCCTATTTTACTTAAAACTTCCTGTAGCCTCCTCTGGTGTTCTTCAAATGTCTCGGAGAATATAATAACATCATCGATGTATATCAAACAGGTACGCCACTGGCATGGTGCTAAAACGCTTTCCAGGAGACGCTGAAAACTTGCTCCAGCATTACATAATCCGAAAGGCATTGATTTAAATTCATACAGGCCATTATGGGTGACAAAGGCTGTTTTCTCCCTGTCTGATGGGTCGACTTCCACTTGCCAATATCCGCTCTGCATGTCGATCACAGAGAACCATTTTGAACCTCTGAGGGTGTCGAGAGAATCATCGATCCGCGGTAGAGGATAAGAATCCTTTATGGTAAGTTCGTTCAACTTTCTGTAGTCGATACAGAATCTCACTGATGAATCTGCCTTCTTCACAAGAACTATCGGCGATGCCCAAGGTGACTTTGAATGTGTTATTACTCCTGCCTTAAGCATGCGTTTGACTTCCTGTTCAGCTATCTCCTTCCTGGCTAATGGTAGCCTCCGAGGTGCTTGTTTAACTGGCCTTGCATTCCCAGTATCTATTTTATGATAACCTTGCTTGGTTTTTCCTAAGTCATCTTTATCCTTTGCAAACACATTCTTATTAATGTTTAATATCTGTTTCAGCTGCTTGACCTTGTCATCATCCAGATGCTGCTTACTGGATTCTACGGTTACCTCTAGATACTCTGGAACACTGTCATCCGGAACAGGTGGTGTCTCATCCAATTGGCACAAGTATTCTGCCTCCGGTCCAGCTGATTGTTCTTCGTCCCTCACATGACATGATCGAACCACCATACATTCTGCTGTGATTGTCTTTTTATATATCCTCTGTGGTTGGTTGGTCATATTGGCTACTCGGACTGGTATGACCTCTGATGACGGGTCAAATATACTTTTCCCCACAAGTACTCCTATCTTCGTCAACTTACAGCTTCCTTCATCAATGATAGCTTGGTGTCCCACCGGTATGTCCCCTACTATCTTAGTTGGTAATATCATCTCACTACTGGCTGGTATCACCACATTCTCTGTTAGTGACAGTTTGAATACAGATCTTGACCTCTGGCTCTCCAAGTAACATTTGGCTGCCTTACCATTGAAGGTCACTGTTCCTCTCCCTACATCCATAACACAGTCATTCTGTTTCATAAAGTCATATCCAATGACAGCCGGTACTTCAATATCAGCTACTATCATACGACACTTCTTAATTTTCCCCGAAATCTCCAGTGGAAACATTGCCATACCCATCGGCGTAATGACCTTCCCATCGGCCACTCTCAGTTGTCCACAATTTCTGCTCAAATCTGGTCGTCTACTCTCTGGTAACTCGAGAAATACCTTGCTACTAAGTACAGAAATAGTTGCTCCTGTATCCAATAAACTATCTATCTCCTTACTATACAGAGATACCTGTAAAAATAATCCATCATTACTTGTATGTTTAATCTCAAACACACATTGGGGTCCCTCTTTGTTTTCCTTCATACTTTCTCTATCTTTTTCCTCTTGGGTTAAAACATGCCCCTTTGTCCTAACCCTTACTGGTTTAAATGACTCCTCTCCTCAGTTCGTGAACCTGAATTATTACTGTAAGGAACATTCTGTTGATGAGTTCCATTGGGTTGTCTCCCCTCCCTAGGTGATTGTCTCTGTCTTCTTGGCTCTTTGCAATCTCTCATGATATGACCTGGTTTTGAGCAGTTGTAACAGGTACGCGTCTCTGTATTCATTCTACGTTCCTCCATTTTTGCTATGTTGAATTCATCTTCCTGGCCATACTCATCAAAAGTCTGTTGACGTACAGTGTGACGAGCTGTGCCACTTTTCCTCTGGTGACTCACCATAAAGGCTTCATATTTCAGGGCTGCATTCAATGCATCATCAATGATTTCAGAACTTGACTGGCATACTGCCCATTCCATGTCTCTATCTGTTAGGGCTTCTCTGAAACATCTGTAAGCCAAACTTTCTCTTACTTCTCCAGGTGCTGTAGGATACCCTAATCTCACTAGGCGTTTGACATCTTGGGCCAGATCTGTCAGGCTCTCATTTGGTTTCCTTGTCTTGGAGGTAATTTGAGCTCTGTACATCTCGCACTGATTTTTCGGTTCGAACCTAGCTGTTAAAATGCTGACCAAACCTTTGAATGATTGCATGTCTTCACACTTAAGATCTGATATGACGCCTCTTGCTGTTCCAGTCATGGATGCAGCCAACTTAAGACTCTTCATTTCATCTGTCCACTGATTCAACCTGGATATCAATTCATAGTGACTCAAGTAGTCGATGAGATGTCTGTACTAGACTTAACATAAGCTGCACTGGAACTCGCCGGAAAATGTACTTGGAGTGTTCATGACAATA